TACATATGTCCTTTTTTGCTGCATTATTTTTTCCAAAAATTATGGACATTTTCGCATCCGCAAACTATACTCATTTTCGACAATAAAGCGGCAAAATCTGCCTATCTGTAAAACTAGGCCGTGAATCCCTTCTATGTTTCTCCTCTTTATTGTATTTTTGGACTAAGCAAATCCACTAAGCTATTGATCACTGGCTTTCTTTGAGGATTATCTGTAAGCTGTTTACATGAGAAAAACCATATCCTTGCCCACGCACGTCCTCCTTATCCATTTTCAGTCAAAAGTAGAGTCTTAGGATTTCGTATCCATCGCGCAATATCCGAAATTGCGTGATCGTTCTTCCATCAATGAATCGAAATCAATAGCTCAATCACTTAAACGTCTGTCAGCTATTGTGTACGCATGTTTGCGTAATTAGCGCTGCACACAATATGGATTACGGCCATATGCTATTCCGCTCTCTGCTCCGCGACTTGATGACAATGGTTTCTTAATGACTTGGAGAAACTCGGGGCTCTCAGAAACCGGGGAGAGGGGGGGGGGGGGTAGCAGCCAGAGGTGATAGGCAGTGACCCGAGTGTTTGTTTTTGTGATTAGCGAACCTTTTGAAAAAAACAGAGAGCCGCGCCGGCCCAGCAGCTGTTTTTGGGCCGCAAGCGTTACGTAACGCAATGCAACGGAGGTGACGCAGCGCGGCGCGCAAAGCGGATTAGCGCCGACGATGCGTATAAACATAAGCCCAAAAATAAACAAATATAGAGCGGTACTGTTTCTTTACAGCGATAGCCTATCATTTCACAAAGCATAGACTGATACTGGGCTTCTTTTGATGTTTGGCGACTTTTCTTCCTCAAAGAGAAGAGAAAAATATGACGCAAGGGGGAAAGTTTGGGAAAAGGGGGAACAGTCTTATTGGAAAATCAGTGTTCTAAGTAGATTTTATCTTTTATGACAAGTTAGACCGGTGAGTAAAAATTTGATGAGGTACTGAAGAAAATCAAGGTTCGAGAAAAGTTCCTGTTTCAAAAGGAAAATATTTTCTGAGCTTCATAGAAAATCCCCGCTCGCATGGTAGTTTCGAGGAGAATTATGTTAGGTCTTTTCAAAAGTAATTTCGCTTTATTCAAACGGACACCACATTTGACGGAACAAAGGTTGCTAAGAGATGTTGGAGGCATTCGTTCCAGAATTTCATTCTCTTTCTATGAAATTGTTGCAAAATAGTCAATAAGCTTTCAGAAAACAACCAAAATCTGCGACCCATGCTTTTTGAGATGGTCAAGTTCCACAATTTTTTAAAACTTTCGTACCAATTCTCAGAAGGAGCCCAAGTAACGATTCGATAGAGTAAACCTTATAGAATACAGCACTGCTTTTTTCTCTTTTTTCTAGCTCGCCGTAATTTTTTAAAGATTTTTTAACAAAACCATCGAATTTTGGCAGGCCTACGTCAGCCACAATCGCAGCAAACATCGGTAATTATTCGGAATTTGAAACTTCCAAGATGGTATATGACTTAATATTGATTTTACAATGCATGTGAGAGCTTATGGATTCAGAATATCAAATTTCGAGTTTTTCGGGTACAGCCTGGGGCTCGCTAAAAAAATGAGTTATGATGATTTCTCCCCGGTAACTAAACGAATCGGAAACAAAAAAAAACACCTATTAGAAAGAGGAATAAATGCTGCATCGAATATGCACGCGCTGCCCTTCTTTTGATGTTCCACAAGGATTTAGCTGCCCAAGTATGGAAATTGGCAACATCAGTTAAAATTCTGTTAAAAATGTATGACAAGCTATGGAGAGGAGAGAAAAGTGGTACTGTATTCTATAAGGTTTACTCTATCGAATCGTTACTTGAACTCCTTCTGAGGATCGATATGAATGTTTTGAAAAAATTGTGAAACTTGACCATCTCAAAAAGCATGGGTCGCAGATCTTGGATATTTTCTGGAAGCTCATTGACTGTTTTGCAACAACTTCATAACATTAGAAAGAGAATGAAATTCTGGATCGAATACCTTCAAGGTCTCTCAAAAATCTTTGTTCCGTCAAATGTGGTGCCCGTTTGAAAAAAGCGAAATTACTTTTGAAACGACCTAATATGTTTGAAAATTCGGCGTGACTGAAAACGACTACACCGTAGAAATCTTTGTTTTTTTTTGTTTTTTTCTTTTTGCAAAATCCTTCTTAACTTTGTTTTGTTTTCTCTGTTGTGAACCCAGAGTAGTGCAACTTGCTTTAAAATTAAAATGTTTTTCCTCCAAGATTCCATCATTTTGGCCCTAAAACTTGCAATCAGATTTTTCGCTTTGTGAAACCTTATGATAATCGAAACCAGATGTTCTTTTCTGTGGCAAAAGTTATCTCCGACAGCAGGTTTTTTTACAGGTTCCTTTAGACTTCTTTATTCATAAACTGCGAAAATTGGCCTACCAGTTATTGAGGAAGCTGCTGGTAATGTTTAGAATTTTTGAATGCCTGGATTTTTCAAAAAAAAAACTTCTCTCATTTTTGAGGTTCTGTATAGTATTCAATAATTTTCATGTAATCGTAGGAAAAAACTATGTGCGGGTTATCCAGAATTTTTTCTGCAACCCTCTCAGAACCGGATTTTTCCCCATGGAGGCTATTGCTTTTTACACATTTACGAATGCATAACATGGTAATAGAGTCTGAAAACTTTCTCGCCTGTGGGGGCCACCTAAGTCGAAAAATCAAATCAAGTTTTTAAAAAATTTCTTGCATGATTTTTGAGCTTCATGACCAAACTCTACTCACTCACATCCATCTTATCTCGTCAAGTTCCTTCGTATTTCTAGCCAGAAAATGTCGTAGATAAGAGCCGAAAGTTTCAACTGCACCAAATGTCACTTAAGAGACGTAGAATTCCCGAGTCCATAGAGCAAGATGGATTGCTACCTCTGTGAAATGACCACACGAAACGATTAGCGCTGTGATTCGAGGGGCTTAGAGGATTTTTTTTAGTCTCAAGGGGGAGGGGGATGAGCAAAACGATAGGAATGTGTGTAGTAGTGTTGTTCGTCTTCGGTCGTCTAATGACTTGACCGGAACTCTCTGGGAATGCGTAGGAATCTAATAGTGTTACCGGAAGTATAGGACGAGTCGACTCGTACCTAATAGACTTCTCGTTAATTTCGTGTCTCTAGTGAGGAATCCAAGCGAAAAATTGCGCCGGGGTTTCGGAAGCGGGGGGGGGGGGGGGAAGAGGAAGATTGCGAAAGTCTCTGAACAAGAGCTAAAAGGAGAGGAGGGGATGAAACTCATGCCAGTGAAAGAATTTTTAGCCTCTCCCCCCTCCTCCCCCCTTCTCCTTCATCAAAGTCCTATCTTATCCTACTTTCGTTCACAGTGATAAAACTAGCAAAAACATATAAAGCCGCAAGTTCGCGTCATCACTAAGACGCCTATCAAATTTTTTCCCTTTCTCTATGTTGACCTGTCAATCGCCACCTCCACATATTCCACTCAAACTCCCAGTACGTGACTACGGTCAGGTGTATCTAAATCACGCCTAAATCAAGTTTGTTTTGTTCTAATAAAAAGTTGAGAAAAAATAATGCAAATACTCTAAGGAGACATACTATGGATAAATGCTTCAGCTCTCACATGTAGACGTGTTGGTGGCCACTGTGTGCGAATGCACATAAGACCTACTGTCGATATCTCTATTTGCAAATCTGTCTTCAAAGATTATTAAACTAGTTTTAGACTTTGGGAAAAAAATTCCGCAAATAATCAATAATTTCTCGTCTCAGAAAATCCTTCCGCTATTTGCCAGGATTTTCTGCTTTAGACAGCTATGGAAAAAATTAGAATCATAGTTCGTTGTGCAATTGCACTAATTATCGTACAAAATATACTGACTATATCTTTCATTGCTTGCGTGTCGCGCGCATGAGCAGCTGGCCGGATGCCGAAATATTGCCGGCAATTTGGCACCGTCAACGTATAAATGTTCTCCTATATGTCATTTGGAGACGTTGGTGGAGCAGCTTGTTTGTCACTTTTGAATGACGGCTTCATTTGTCGCGCGCGCGTGCGCGACAAACACGCTACTATTGCATTGTGAATGTGAATGGCAAAAGGAGTACAAGCCGCTTTGCAGAGCTTTGCAAGAAGTTTTGGGAGAAGGGGGGGGGGGCAAAATGTGGACTAAAGCGGAAAGGGGACTCATGGTACTGAAAGCAGCAACAATCATATTTTTAAAGATGTTGGAGCGGACTATCAACTTCTGGCTGTTTTTTTTTTCGACTACCAAAATAATTCCCTTCAAAAAGATTTATATCATAGTTTCATAAATCTTCACATTTTCCTGTTTCAGGAATATTTCATCTTTTATTTTATTTTCTTCTCTCAGTTGCGCCGTTTCAAAATCACGTATTTCCATATGGAAATTCTTATTTCTAATTTCGCTGTGCAGGGCTTGTACAAGATCAGCGACCGGAGGAGGGGGAGGGGTCGTAACAAAAAAATTCAAAAAAATCAAGAGGTGAATTCATGTAACCAACGACGATCCTAATTAGATGTGGGAGTGCAAACTGAAATTTTAACGGTTTCTTAAATTAGCAAAAAAACCCGTTTCAAGCAGATTTCATATATTTTATAAGATGACAGTATCCCGGTGAAGTAGAGTTTTCGTAAGTTTACACAGTTCGCTATCGTTCCCAGAAGCTTTATATTTTCCTTAAAGTCGTCAAAATTCCCGTTTCGTAGAGGAATTATACCTTCACTAAGGCAGAGACGAACTGTTCCTTATGGATTGCTTTCGAAAATTTCCGGTGGCTTCCCATAAAAGTTTCTTAGTTTTGCAAAGTGTTGCAATTTACCATAGCAATTTTACGTTTTTAAATCTGCAGTGCTCTTCATTTGAAAGGATTTTTTCCTCAATGATTTCCAATGAATTTCTTTCAAGAAACTTATAATTCACGGATACCCTAGATGATCTCTTGCGTCAGAAATTCTCACTTTTCCAGGCCGAACTTTCCACGACTCTTCAACAACTCAGCGAAAAAGCCCGAACGGCAACGGAAGAAATTGGCCGGTTAAAACAAATGCACGATAATCTCAATGTAAGTGCAAAATCTCTATTTTTATCCGTGTCCTTGAAGTTAATGGATTTTGTTCGAAAAAATTCCTGAGTGTGTCTGCAGTTGCAGACGCCTGGCGATATCTGATGCCTGGGTTTTTTTAGAATTCATGCAACGACTTCAAGTCGAATTTGTGCATACAAATAGATGCATTGATCGAGCAACTGCAAACGAGAAAAGAGCAGTTAATGCGACATGTCGAAGAAGAAAAGGATCATAAGGTAGGGTTTTGGGGGCTACCTAAAAATGGGAAAAAGAATCAGATTTGTGGGTTCTTGGTTCCTCCATCGCCTAGAGAGTCTGAGAATAAAAACTCTTGCATAGTTGCTGGTTTTGAAAAAAGCAGATAAAGAGATTTTTACGGAAAAATCCCTAAAGTTACATCTTTTATGCTACTCTCAGTAGACTATCGTTCCATTAAGTAAAGACGTTTGATTTTGAAGATTATTTTCAATTTTTTTACCAATGCTGCATACCTCCGACATCATAAAATGTAACCATCAAACATAGGTATAAATTTACGAAATTACCGTAAGTGAATTTTTTCTTCCAGAAGCAAATACTCCGAGAACAAATTTCGCGCTGTACGGCAAAACTATCCCGGACAACAGGATTAATCCAATTCTGTATTGAAGCTCTAAAAGAACCGGATGCAGCTACATATTTACAGGTAAGCTTAGGCTGAATACGCAAGAAATAGAGTGGTTAAGCTTAATACAACCTCCTTCTTCCGGTATTTTTTTTCTTTTCTCTATAATAGGGGACTACTGATTTCCAGAGGGAATAAGTGAAATTATTTTTGTAGAATCCGCCATCACAAACTCCATCTCGACTTTCGAAAAAGTTGTATTCCATGCAAATATTGAATCTTCACTCAAATTTTTGTCTAATATACCTATTTACAGGTAAAAAGAGAGAATTCTTATCTAATTTTGCTGAATAAATTTTTTGCACTTTGAATTTTCGATTAGTCTTCTGCTAACGGCTATATAAAACTTCTCTCAGATATTATCTCTAGTATTGATAGAATTATTTAACTTAAACCATCTTAACTTTAAAGAATTGGCCTTATTCTCCTATGAATAATTCACAACTTTTTTCCCCTGAAATAAGGTGTCAAGCCCCAGAATGACTTCTGTTTATTTAGAACAATTCCAGCTATATCAGTTTCTTCAAAAAAGTGCTTTCCTTTTGTTTATCATTGATATAACCCCCCCCCCCTCTTTTCCTAATTTATAATGGTTTTGTCGACTACAATTTTTACAGTCGTGATAGCACGTATGTAGATTACAGACTCTTATCTATGACACAATGAAGAAAGACTAATCCCATGCTATCTGCGAACTGATAATTAACAATAAGGGTCTCTAAGCTGCAAAAATTCGCACAATCTATACATCAAGGTTGAAACATCATTAGAAAATGCTCGAAAATTTCAAACAAAATTTCCTTGCTGCTTGGATTCTGCATTCGCACGAAAGTGTCTTTCTAATCAAATCGTTCACGTCAACTAAATTGTCATGTAGATGAGTAATCAGCAAATTGTTTTGACATAAATGTTTCTGACAGTTTCGACAACAATTTCGTCGCATGCGCCGCGCAATATTTCGCGCAAAATTTTCTTTGTTATAACTCTCACTTTGGAAATAATAATTATGACGCCATAATCAGATTGAAAATGGGGCTCCCATTTCTTTAACATTTTAAGAGGGGAATAATAAGGCTATGAGCAGATTGAAGTCTGAGATTCTTCGTGGTTTGGCAACTGTTTAAAAAGATTTGAAGGCGAGAGATGGATCAGAATTGGATTTTTTGCATGTTTTTGCAAACCCAATAACATAAGGTTGTACTTAGCAAATTTCCAAGAAAAAATTATAAGGCTACAAGCGGATTGAATTTTGAATTTTTTTTTCATATTTTAGCGAATTTTCAAAAAATATGTAAGGCTTTAAAGAGATAAAAATCAATTTTTGATTTTGGCAAACAAGAAATCTATGAGGCCATATGCAAGGGAATTCGAGTTTTTTCTTATTTTGGCAAATTTTTTCAAAATGTTATAAGGCTCTTGGGCAGTCAGATTGAAGTTTGGGTTTTTCGTATATTGGCAATTTTTCAAAGAAAAATTCTCTGTTTCAGCACTCCGCAGCTTTGTTACATCGTTCAACGAGTCAAGAGTTCCTATGGCATCGAGAAATGAAAACAAAACCAGACATCGATCCAGAATTCATATTAAACCTTGACACTAAACATCTACAGTATTCCATACAAACCCTGGACTTTGCTCAAATGAAAGGTAAAGGTTCACTTACTCAAGTTGTTTCTTTTTGCATCCCCCAAACTCACTTCTACTCACTTCTGTATTGGAAAAACTAAACAATTTCTATATAACTCCACTTCTTCACAAAACTTTTTAGCAAATCAGAATTCACGCATCCGAGGCGATTCGACACGAGGTACAGTATACAGATATCACATGTGATAGTGTTTCGTCTCTAGATACACACCCTATTTGACGTAGTATTGCACCAATATTTTCTTATTCATTGCGCTACAGCTATTTTCACTCTTCATTCACGCAAAACTCCACTTTTTCATGCATGAATCACCTCAAAGAATCTATTTCGTTGCTGCTGCACTTTTAGTTTTATCGTTTCTGATTCACGCTCTGACGAGAGGAAAATTAATTGCGAATTTGGAAGATTCGAAGCGATGACTAATGAGATCAGAATAGTAAACAGATTTTATAGTGCCTTCACCACCGATGATCGATGCTGCCGAATGCTCGGCCGAGAACAATTCGGTGACGATCGTCTGGCGACCGAGACAAGACGGTTGTGCCATAGATGGATTCAGTCTTGAAATTGACACTGGAAATGATGACGGGAAATTCAAGGTGAGATATTTGGGCTTATTTTTGGAAGGCTATGATCCCACAAGCAGATCCTGAGTTTTCCCTCATAGCAATCTGATTAGGAGGTAGTTGATTAGGAGATGTATGTTAGACATAATTGATGATTGAAAAGTGAATTTGCTGATTTGCATTAGGTTGTCCCAAAAGTAAACTCCTTTTTCAAATAATTCAAACCGTTTTTGTTTTCCCAGTAAACTTAGGGTATCATTCGATAGAGCAGATCAGCTCTACAAAAAGACTACCAAAGGTCCGTCTAAGTCGCATTCCATGTAGAGTTTGAAGCCAAAATCGAAAAAAAATTTGTCATTTGAAAAGTGGATTTCGTGATAAAGAATCCTACAGACCTCCAACTTGGTCATTATACAATAGGCACATAGTAGTACTCAATTATGTCTTTAGCGAATTTTTTCCGAGCTTAGAAAGCGAGAAACAAAAATTGTCCAAAAATAGTAAACTCCTCCCCCAAACCCTCCCACATATGTAATTGTATACCAAAAGCCTTACTAATATGTTTTTGAAACCTTACCCCTGTATGTTCGAGAAATACGAAGTTTTACATAGAAACCCGAAAAAAGTGGCATGTTGGCACTTTGTGACCTCCTTTACTCTCAATTTTGAGCCCCGGAAAAAATCCATCAAATACATTCTTGTTTAGTACTATGCGTCTACTATATAAAGACCAAATTGGAAGTCCGTAGGAATTCTCTGGAAAGAGTTCCGGCTTTTAGGGTATCTGAAAAATCGTGATTTTTGGCCTCAAATTTTCCTTGGATTAGAATTAGGGGGTCTTTGGTTATCTTTTTGTAGAGCTTGCTTCGCTCTATCGAATGGTACCTCAAGTCTTTGAGGAGAACAAAAACAGCTCAATTTATTTGAAAATGGAGTTTACTCTTGAGACAACCTAATAGTATACCCGCCTATCTCCAAAGAACACGCAAAAATCAAGATATAATTATTGAGACGGTATCAGTAGAAGATATATGTAAATTTTAGATTTGATTTCGTTTTAAATAAAATATTTTTGATATGCTTAATCTTGCTGCAAAACTTCTAATCTGGGATTGTAAAGCTCATTCATATAGTCCAACATATAGCACGTAGTAGCTACCTAACTTTGGGTACTGTAAGTATACGGTAGAGGGTCAATTGCCACATTGTCAAAGGTTGGTGCAATTATTGCATTTATATCCAATTCTTTCTTTCTCACTTCAAATTTTTCTCACGAAAGATCGAAAATCGTACAGGGATTTATAATTACAGAAAACAAGTAGTATGTTTTTGAATTTGACTTTGAGTTTTCGTAACGATAAGCCAATGTTATCCGTGGATTGTCATTTTTTAAAGCTGATTTTTTTTTACCAAAGTTAGAGATCTCACATCCCCTTTGTGTTATCCAAGTTCTCAGCTGAAGTTATAGATAGAGGATAGAACGGCTTTTCCTTTTCAAGAGTCGCTTACGTAAGTCTGAGATAAGGCTTCTTGTGATCATAATCTGCTCATTCTAAGCCAGCTTAGGGTGTTTTTGAACATATGACAGGAATACGTAAGATTGCTGTCACCACTTGAACTATCTGTTAAGAAATTATGATCGGGAAGTTCAAATTCAGCAGTTTTCTTGATAAGAAACTTACTTATCGAACAAGGCTTTATCAGAGAAAAACAAATTCCACAGGCATAATTTTGGAGTCGACGGTCGCTACCTGTAAAAATAGATTGATTTTCCAAAATTTCGGTATCTCCTGAGCTCCATTTTCCTCTCAAGGGCAGGGCATACTCACGCGATTTTAGTTGCGAGCGATTTGGCAACTCGCCAGAAGTCTTCAGATCCAACTCTAGCAAACCGCACATGCATGTATAACTTACGTGGATTGATAAAATGTCCTATCTTCTGTACATTTAAAATGTGCTTACGGTGACTTATGGACAGCTGGAATACTGCCAAATCGCGTCGCGACTGAAATCGCGTGAAGTATGCCCGGCTCTTTATAATGAAAATTTGTTTTAAGCTCATCGTTGAACTATCAGTAGAGGACACATCATATGTTGAATAAAACAAAATTGTTCAATTTTATCTGTTCAATTCCGGCAAAAATCTGTAACAAATAAATTTTTCTGCCTTCTCAGTTCTTTACCACTACATCTTTCTCTGCACTAAGAGCTATCTAGCATAGTCTGATTCTTACTTCATTCCAGGAAGTCTACTGCGGTCGTGACACGATTTGTACCATCGACGGATTGCATTTTAACACTGTCTATACAGCTCGTGTGAAGGCTTTTAATGCTGCTGGTGACAGCGAATATAGTGAACCAATTTGTTTACAAACTGCTGAAGGTAAGCATTCATCGTACCATTTTTACACATCGTTCTTCCCCCCCCCCCCCCTCTTCTCTTCAGTTTTTTCCATCATTCTGCTCATTTTCGGGCAAAAACCCTAATTTGATTCGAAGATCTTTGACCAATTCGTACCACTCTGCGTTTGTAATCATTAGCGCTTTCGGAAGGGCGAAAAAATGCTTTTAGTGGGTCATTTTTCGCTCAGAACTAATGGGGGTGAGAATGGGAGATTTTCGCGCGGATTCTAGTTTTAGGAGATTTTAGAAAAATAGGCTGGGAACAGGGAGCTGGTGGAATCGAGCTCATCGAGAACTCAATTCCATAAAAACACCAAAAAGAAGCTATCTTTGAACCCCCCCCCCCCCTCCGCCTCCTGATAATTTGAGAAACTTGTTTACTCTCCTCGTAAAACGAAAGATGAACATTGTGGGAATCCCTACGAACATGATCATGTTCATAAAAGGACTAGAGACCAAGTTGAATATCACATTAGATGTTTCTGTGCATTTACGGACATTCTCAATTACAGTAGCCTGGTTCCAATTGACCAAATCCCCATCTCAACGAGATATGCAACTATCGAACGAATGCACATCATTAACTGGTACAAGCTTGGAGTATAGGACGATACTTGGATCCATTGCGTTCTCTAAGGTAAACACTTGTTTTTGTTTACTTGTTTATCTTTTACCTAGAAGAACTAAAGACTAGCGAAAATTTGAAGAAATCCTCAAACTTCTATTTTAGGGTGTTCATTATTGGGAAATAAGCGTTGTTCGTCACGATAGCAACGCTGATATCGTCGTGGGTGTTGCTCAACCAGCTGTAAACAGAAATATTATGCTAGGTATGCTTGTTCACTTACCAAGGTTGTACCAAAAAACACATTGTTTTGCTGCCGCAGATACTAGTATATCAACGTTTTTCATGTTTCTATAAGTTTGATCGCGATTCGCGTGCGGGTTTCTCGCGACTCGCGCCCGATATTTCACGTGTCTGAAATTGCATAATAAACCGAGAGCTGCGAAGACGTACGTAGAAACAGCACAGTTTTTTTTTTGTTTTCGTATCTCTCTTTTTTTGTAGAAGTTTTAAAGAGTCGCCGGCTCGCGCCCGGGTTTTCCGCGACTTGCACATTTCCCGAGTCTGAAGTTAAGCATTAAATCACGGGCTAGATGAGAATACATCTTATATATAAAGCTGAATGTCTGTTTGTCTGTCTGTCTGTCTGTATGTCTGTCTGTCTGTCTGTACGTATGTTCCGAATAGAAAATTCCATTTCTGAACCGATCGGGACCAAACTTGGCACACATACACTTCGGGCCCCGGCGGGTGTCATAGGCTACTTTTCGTATCGATCGATATCGATTTTATCGATTTTTTGCAAAATTTGAGCTACGGGGCTGGGAGTTGGCACAGGGGGGTAAGTGAGCATGGGGATTCCGAATACAATATTAGTTTTTAAAATCGTGCATTACTTTTATCGATTTTATCGATTTTTTTGCAAAGTTTGAGCTACGGGGCTGGGATTTGGCACAAGGGGGTAATCGAGCATGCTGATCACCCCCGTGGGGTTGATCAGCGAGCTCGATTACACCCCTCTGCCAACTCCCAGCCCCGTAGCTCAAATTTTGCAAAAAATTGATAAAATCGACATCATCGATAACGAAAAGTGGACTGTGACACCCGCCGGGGCCCGAAGGGTATGTGTGCCAAGTTTGGTCCGGATCGGTTAAGAAATGGAATTTTCTATTCGGAACATACGGCGGAGCCGGGTAAGCCAGCTAGTACTTCATAAGTGAACAATAGTTGATAGGTCCAAGTAGAAGGTTCATTTCAGAGTTGATAAGTCCGGCGCGAGCCGCGCATTTTTTCCTTTTGCAAATACTATTCAGCGCAGTTGTTAACGACTGGCTTATTTAGTATGTAAACAATTTAGACTTTTTAAACGGTTGATTGCTTCGCGATGCTAATCTAGCTGCGCTCCTTGCGAGCATGTCGGCCGCGTGTCGATACCAGAATGCTTCATCTGACTGTGAATACTAAATTGATCTGAATAACATATTAGGATGACACAAATCACTAAAGCAAACATTTGCTTTTTGAGCATTTTCAGCATTCGATATTCGAAAGATATCTTCGATTTTCTCTTTTCTTTTGTAATGCTTTCTCTCTTTGTATCAAGTGAATCCATCTAATTACTATAGGCAAAGATCTTCATGGTTGGTCAATGTACGTAGATGGAGAGCGGTCGTGGTATCTCCATAATGAAACACATCACAGTCGAATTGTTGGTGGGATAGGAAAAGGTGAGCCCCTCGAACTGGAAATAACGATAAATTGCACAACTATGTACGCAAGAAAATGGAATTATTCTGTGTAATCGTTACTTGTCGCTTTCATTAGATGATTTCGGATCGTCTACATTCTCCTAGTGATTCTCCGTTCTTTGCGATTCTAATCGCTGATTCATGAAACTATTTCCTTTCAGGAAGTGTCATTGGCGTGAAATTGGACTGTAATCGCGGAACAATCGAATACATTATCAATGATAGGAAACGAATGTTCGAGAAGAACACGTTTGCATTTACGTAAGTTTCCTTATCTGTGCCTGAATAAAAATAATAGCAAAGAAATAATTGATTAACAAATACAAAAGTAGGGCAAATCACCATTAAATGATTGAATTTCCCTCTGCTGTAACTTCTCTATCCTTCTTTCTTCCCCGCCCCCGTAAGTAATCTGACACGATGTCTAATACAGCAGTTAAATAGAAGGTATTTTTGGATAGTCAATCCCTCTCCCCCCCCCCCCACCTTTTTCCCCCTCTCTACGATCTGAACAGATTTCTATCAAATAGTCCTCTGCATACATATTTGCAAGGAGAAACTCTGTAATTCCCAACTGATTCACTTCCCCCTCCCTTCTTCGTCCACCATCACTCACCGATTTCCTATGGAATTCATCCATGTAAGGAATAATTTTAAGTGATTCAAAGCTTCAAATGCAAAACCTGAAAGAAATGATTTTTTTTAGAAAATTTTCACATTATTTAAGGAAGTACATTACCTTAGGTAAAGAATATTTCTCTCTATCAAAGGTCATTTTACAGCAAAAATCTACCTTTAGTATTTTCAAGCATTTCATATCTTAGAATTAGAAGAAACTAGCTGGCTTACCCGGCTCCGCCGTATCCGGACCAAACTTGGCACACATACACTTCGGGCCCTGGCGGGTGTCACAGTCCACTTTTCGTTATCGATCGATGTCGATTTTACCGATTTTTATCGATTTTTTTGCAGAGTTCACTTACAGGGCTAGGAGTTGGCACAGGGGGGAAGTGAGCATGGGGTCCGAATACAATATTAGTTTTCAGAATTATCGATTGCTTTTATTGATTTTATCGATTTTTTGTAAATTTTGACATGCGAGGCTGGGATTTTGCACAGGGGGGTAATCGAGCATGCTGATCACGAACACAATATTAGTTTTCAGGATCGTCCATTACTTTTATCGATTTTATCGATTTTTTGCAAAAGTAATCGATAATCCTGAAAACCAATATTGTATTCGGAATCCCCATGCTCGATTACCCCCCCTGTGCGAACTCCCAGCCCCGTAGCTCAAACTTTGCAAAAAAATCGATAAAATCGATAAAAGTAATCGATAATCCTGAAAACCAATATTGTATTCGGAATCCCCATGCTCGATTACCCCCCTGTGCGAACTCCCAGCCCCGTAGCTCAAACTTTGCAAAAAAATCGATAAAATCGATAAAAGTAATCGATAATCCTGAAAACCAATATTGTATTCGGAATCCCCATGCTCGATTACCCCCCCTGTGCCAACTCCCAGCCCCGTAGGTGAACTCAGCAAAAAAATCGATAAAAATCGATAAAATCGATATCGATCGATGACGAAAAGTAGCCTATGACACCCGCCGGGGCCCGTACTGTATGTGTGCCAAGTTTGGTCCGGATCGGTTCAGAAATGGAATTTTCTATTCGGAACATACGTACAGACATACAGACAGACATACAGACAGACAGACAGACAGACAAACAGACATTCAGCTTTATATATAAGATGATAACTTTTCATAGAGAAAAAGAATGCTGGTCTCTTTGTCTTCTTTCCTCGCTCTCCCCTCCCTCCTTGCCTCTCACACCAGATTCTCCACTACCATCACACCAACACAGATCAGTATCATGTCACATGACAGCTTTGAAAATTATCATAAGCTGTGAATCAATGAATTTTTTATTGCTTTGACGTCAAATGCATGATTTATGGATGATTACTATTATATGATAGTTTGAAGTTTAAATGATCGGCGATAATGCCACTTTCATGGAAATTATGCATGTTTCTATGGTTTTGAATATATTTGCGAAAAGTTAGTGGAAATCTTTAGACTCGAAAAAGTTGATTATCATCCGTGAGCTCATGCCCTGTTGAGAACAACCATAGTGTGTTCCACTTGATTATGGTTTAGGCTTTCCATTTCTTTTGCTCGGTCTGCCCCCGCTTTAGGCCTCAACTTCCTTGCTCAAATTTACAAAACTCCGATCCAAAAAGAGAGAAGACCTTGAAAGCTCTGCAGAAGAAATTGCCTCAGAAAGGAACTGAGTTTGATTCAAATTTGAATTGTGGGACTGATAATCATTCGCTACATGACGCGTCATTTACTAGGCATGTACTTATTCAGTGAGGATAGATTGAACAAAAATAGATACAGAAAGTTGCAAGCCATTTTATATATGTTAATTTGTCAAAACTCAACCTTTTGATTACTCCACCTTCCCAATATCAATCACAAAATGGTAAAAACCATTCATACACACTGATTTTTGCTCAAGAAATTCACACTGTTAAAGTTTTCTAAAAAATGAGCAACAGAAACTAGTCAAATGGCAAGCTCCGCCCTTCTTAATATTCCCGCCCATGGCGCAGAACGCTACTACATACGCAGATTTACAAACTACTTTAGTTTCCAAAAATATCTATTTGAAAAGAAAAAGTGAATTTTTTGCGTGCGTTCGATGATCAAAATCGATTCTTATGTGTTATGAGAAAAACAAGTGTGAGCTTGTGGAGCAAGACCTGAACCCCAGCAATCTATAATCAGCTTCCCTTGCCATCAAATTCTGATGCAACCGCAATCGAATTTTCGTTCGTCTGTCCTATAATCCAGTAGTTATTGAGCAGAGCACAAAGTCAAACATTTTTGGGCAGATTCGAGTGCACCTAAAATATTTAGAAACTTATAAATTGTAGTCGGAAAAAATGCGATTATTTCTTGTCAATCTAATCGCATCTCGGTGCAATCTCACTAAAGTTCAATGTAATTGCACTGGTCATACTTTAGCACTATGAGTTTTTCTACAATTATTGTACGCATAGGCTTGAATGTAACAAACAAAGATGGAAAAATTGAAATGCATTCGTTTGTAAAATTCTAGGATATCAGAGAAATAGAACTCTTTTTGCATTCATAATTTCTGAATGACAGGTTTTTAGCATAAGGTTTAAACAATTCTTTTTTTCGGGTAAGGGGCAAAATTTTCCTGAATGAAAGGAGATGGCGTCAGTACAATCTCTAGAAAAAATTCTAAGATTATTTTCAAAAGCTAGCTTTCGACCCCGAAACTCTTGAGGAAAGGAAGCTCTGAAAATTAATAGTCAAGCTAATTTGAATTTTCTTGAGTTTGAAAATTATTTCTATTATCTACAAATAAAAACAATTTACTTGCATAAATTTTTTTATGTAGACCACTTTTGCAACCCCTCCCCTTATAGGACTTTGATCCCCCTAAAGGATCCTCAAAGTTGTCTATAAGTTTTTCTAGTTCTTCCTCTATAGTCCCATCTGCCAAAAGTTGAACAAAAAGTCGGACTTTGGTCTTGCTTTGTAAAAATAAAAATAATGTCAGTACCAGACGGTGTCATTCAGGATCTAGTGCAAATTTCTGCTGTAATAGAGGAGAATTTCTCGCACTCATTACTCATGGAAGAAATTTCAAAATTATTTAAATTTAAAAAGATTGTGCAAAATGCGAAGTTCAAATTTCTCTGGATCAAACATTTTCAAGAAAGAAATAATTATGCGATTCCCAGCACAGTCAAATATCATGCTCTAATTTCAGAAATCTGCCCCGTGGCCTCTACTATCCAGCATTTTCGGTGAATTGCAATTCAACGATCACTATCCATACTGGACTATGTGCACCGTCAAGTTCAAGCAGCGACAGTGAGTAGCATACTGTAGCGGAGTACTGTAATGGTACGGTAGCCACACAGTACAAAATTCACTCTATACATTCTCACTGCCCAAAAACCAATCACTATCACCTCATTTTTCATTTAACATGCATTTCTAGCACAATGATCCGGTCGATTTCTCTTCTCTTTCTTCCTCTTCTCTCTACTTTCCCGCTTTCCACTTTGTATTTTTTTTCGAAACTGCCAAACATGAGCCGCGCATGATCACAGCAATACAGATTGTACCAAAATCAGCTTTATTACATCTCATTTATATTGCTGCTATGCGAATTGTATTCTTTGGGAAATATGTTGCTCACATTGTTGCGACATCCCAGAATATCATTTTTTTTGTTTACATTTCGTCTCTCTTGTCATCTTTGTCATTTACAACCGGTATTTATGTACCTATTTCATTCATATGCATAATCATAATCAATAAAGAAACATATTTATGTGTGTTCTACATTCAATAGGATATTTAGAAGTGAAACAAAAAATTCAAAATTGTTCTGAACTTCTTTGAGGAAGAGGGGGAACTACTGAATTATACTAACCAAGCATTAACAAAATTACAAAAAGGGTTTTTGATGGAAAATTATTTTCATTGCAACTTTGGAATCGGTAGAACTAAAGAGCAGAAATTAGGGAGCTGATATTATTATCAGTCAAGAAGGATCGCAGCGACTAGATCATTTAATATCTGAGCCCCACATTTCGGCAAAGAAACATCTCATATGCCTTCGGCAATTTCCTTTTTGGTTCGTTTTTCCATGACTGTAGATTAGAAAAGAAGCCAATTTTACTCCCTGCAGACGAGGGAGAAAGCCATAACAAAAATTTCTTGCGCGATTATGTTTATTGGTATGCAATCACCATATAACCTCATCCAATCATTTCACTTCACTGCTGCTAAAGTTGAGAATTTTAATTTATTCAAGTAACGGAGGTGATGGGGGAGTGGCGTAGTGCTATGAGGCGCCGCCGTGTCCAGGTAAACCCAAAGTTCAATCCCGCCCATGCTCAAACAAGATCTCCATCCCACGAGAACGGTAAATTGAGTGATCTGGGAGGATAAAAACACTAAATTGGCAATCAGCTGGACCCCGCAAGCCATTGCCCACAAGCATACAAATGCTTTTCGACTACGAACTAGATTGCTCAGAAGATACCAAAGACACAATTCTTTACCCTTTATGTGCAAGTTTTTTTTTGGAATGATTGTCTGCAGAGTAGCAAATTTGATACTGGTAAGTTTAAATATCACCAGAAATTTTCAGTCGAAGGAATAGAATTCTTTAACTTTTTTGGAATCTTATAGCAATCACATCATAGATGAGGTTCAATAACCGTCTACATAATTTTGGCTGATCCAAACTTCTTCATTTCTAACGACCTCAGTAGCATTTCTAAAGTATGCGCGTCGTAATTTGGCAGTTCGCCAAATCGCATTGCGATAAAAGTTGTGCGAGGTATGCCAAGGACTACGGTGATTGAATGAAATGTAGATCGCCACAATTTTCGACATACACATCTATATGGCATTTCCAATCACTTTTTCTAGGGTTTCAACTACTTACTGCCCTTCGTAAAAGTTTTTATTTCAGTTTTCAGTTATATAGCAGGTCATTTTATTGCCCTCTGATAATAAATGTGCAAACTTATCGCGTCATTTACTGCCCACCCCTTATCAGTAATCAGATAGGAGCTCAATTAACAACGTAATGACATGATAAGCACGTAACATCAGTTTTGCTAGCCTCCTATTAGAAAAAAATTTCTTTCTTTCAAAATGGAAACTTTATTGTTTGATGACATCTTATGTGACACACTCGGCAAAATGTCTGTGATATATTTATTCACAAATAATAGAATATATTAGAAACCATACGGTCAGAGACACAAACTGGGGGGATTTTCGAACGCAGACAAGGAACATCAGTGGAAGAGGGAAACTTTCGAAAAGAACAACGCAAGAATATGGCGTTGCCCGGCTCTCTTCACCTCCTAGTGTGTGTACTGTGGATTTGGTGTTAGGGATGGTGAGAATTTCTCTAACCAGGGCAAATGTGATGGTTTTGAAGGGCTCCGAGGCGACGGGGAGAGAAAACAACGATGGCGCAGCGCGGCGCGACGCGGCGGCGGCGGCAAAAGGCGAAGCCCACCAACGAGAGAACTACACGGAATTATACAGAGCGGAACGGAGAATCAGAGCGAAAGAAGAATAGTCCAAAAAATAGATCAACATAATATGATCTATCTATTTAGATACACATATTATTTATAATTCGAGCACAGAACCCTCGCAAAATATATGAGAGAATGAGAAAAAAAACAAGAATTCAGATATATGAATGCGGGGTGTACAACGAGCGCGAAACACAATGGAGGAAGTGTGGATACACATTGGTACACACGACGTGTATTGTTGATGGATACACGAGGTACACACAAAACAAAAAAATTTGGATGGGTACACAGATCAGTTGGGAACTGAGAATTTCGGAGCACGTTCAATTGCTTACTTGGTCGTCATCATTGTTACGAATTCTGCAAAACAATCAATCAAACACAAAAACGCAATAGCCAAATTTCTTACTGTTGAAATAAAACCGACTCAAAGAATCTCTGCAAATCAGGAAAAAAAGAAAATGACGTGAATGATTCACCTTCATAGTTAACTTGTCCGTCTCCATCAATGTCAGCCTCACGGATCATTTCATCAACTTCCTCATCGGTAAGTTTTTCTCCAAGGTTAGTCATCACATGGCGTAATTCAGCAGCCGAGATGAAACCATTTCCGTCTTTGTCGAACACCTGACATTGACCGAATTAGGCAGCGTTTGATAGTATACAAAGCATCTGCTTCGATGAGTAAAGATTCAAAATCATCTGCTTGCAAAGGAATCAAAGTCCCTTTTCGACCGGAATTAGACGAGACATGCTCTTTCGCAGGTGTTTTATCTAAGGGTGGCTATGGCTACGAATACATTAATGGACTAGCTGCATCACTTACTACGATTATTTATATACTCGCGAACGAAAACGACAAAAAATCCAATAATGCTGACGATTTCGTTAAAGAACAGGGATAAGAGATTTCCTAACCACTTCCAGCCCAACAATTTCGAGAAAAAAAAATAGCGTGCACCTTTTCGTGCTGTTAGTAAATTTTAAGCGGAAGTAAAACAGTTGTCTCTCTGACTCTCACAAAACCCCTAAGCTCAAAAGAAAGACCTTCGTAAGACCCCCATTCCCTGCTTATTATCTGACCAGAAACCTATTCTCATTTACTAGAAGCCTTTCGTTCAACTAATCTAATTAGTCAACGACAAAATTAGAGCGCGACACACAACCCCATAAATTACTAGACCAGTCATAGTCGATACGCCTTCCAGCAACACAAAACCAAAAGCCGGCGATAAGATCTCTGATCGACAATCTCAATTCCAAAGTGTGAAAACAAGAAGAAAAATAAAATTCTAATAAGAACATACTCGGAAAGCTTCGCGAATCTCCTCTTCGCTATCAGTATCCTTCATTTTTCTCGCCATCATAGTGAGGAATTCGGGAAAATCGATGGTTCCATTACCTAAATTGCACAGCATTATATTCGCAAAAAATCAAACATCAGGGCACAGTCAAAACATACCATCAGCGTCGACTTCATTGATCATATCCTGCAATTCAGCTTCAGTTGGATTTTGTCCCAAGGATCGCATGACGGTTCCCAATTCTTTGGTGGTGATCGTACCGTCACCATCCTTGTCGAACAATGAGAATGCCTCCTTGAATTCTGTAAATACACAACTTTGACATACTCTTGCAAAATATTTTGTGTCTTTAGCTTCTCCCACATATTAAATCTACCGAATGAATCACCTCTGATTCAATAGAGTTTTTTTTACAACAGGGGTCAAAGGAGAAAAATTTCAAGATTTTCGATACAAAACGATGCGGAGTCATAAATTCTCGTAATGATATTTGGTGAGGATCGCAAAAAAGATGAAAAAGGTTCATGCGATTACCGCTGTCCCACATCCAACTTCACACCGGAGACTACCTAGCAGAGGTAACTTTACTCAAAGCCTTCATCACGATTTCATGACATTTAGCGCAGCCAAGAAAAACCTTGTGATTTCCTTCCGTCAGTCCTGACTGACATGTGCCACTCCTTCTTCTATGAAAATCAACTATTTGACTTCCACAAAATCAGAAGTTCACGATCAAAGGCAATGAGGATAAAAATGTCGAAATTATTTTTTTCGTAAAAATTTTTTGACACCAAATTTCTGAAAAGTATTAGAATTCCGAACAAATCATTTTATGTGGAGTCAAACATTCTGATCTTCTCTAATTCATAATAATTGCACCGAGTAATCGTATACAGTGGTAAACCACTTAACGGCAATGCCAGTGCGCATGACTCTTGGTATTTAACTGACTTAAAGTGAACTTTGTTCCACATTTAAACGCCATGAAAGTAATATCAACATAATCTACGAGCTTCATTATATAAATCGAAATCATTCATATATTAAAGTGTAAAGATGGATATTGATTTCAAGAACTTAGTATTTTCCCATCGCACAAACGCCCAAAAAATGCCTCTAAAAATACCTTAGATTTCAACTGTTCTTCACTACTTCATAAAAGGAAATTTGTTAAACCAAAAATTCGAATAATGTATAGCCAGTAAAAGACTAATGAGCGGCAATGGCTTTTCATTCAAATCCCCAATCTGTTCCGCGACATTTCGCTATTACACAACGTAGTGGGTTTAATCTCTGCGCCACTGGCCATAAATTGAAATATGATACCCATGTGGCTGCGGTACAACCCTTTTAACTGATACCGACTAACACCAAAGCGACCTTTGATGGAAAAGATTGCAGAGTAAATTTCTCAAAAAAGTTATACGGAGTACGGATACAACATGACTTTAAAGATAATATCTGTATAAGAACATACCAGCAATCTGCTCCTCGGTCAGTTGGTCAGCCATTGTGTGTTGTTGTTATAAGAAGAGAGATCAAGAATAAAAGAAGACCGGTTCAGAAAACGACGAGGAGAAGTCCTTGCCCGACTGCTGAAAAGGATTCAAACATAAGCGTGAAAGAGAAAAGATCCGAAAAATCAACACACGTCTGCGAATTGAGAGGTGAAACAATTGTGTGAGAGAAGAGCGAAGACATGCGCACGCGTAAAAAGTGAAACAGGATGTTCAGGGAAACGAAGGCTGAGAAGAAATACGCAGCGAAAAGAACCCTGAGAAGGAAGAAAGCAAAAACTTGTGTGGAATAGGTGAGGCAAAATTCCTTGCAGATTTTGGAGACACGTTCAGCTAAAATTCTGGGCAAAAATCGCAATGTGGTCCAAAAGATTTCGCTACTTAGCTCAGTCAACGAAGAAGGGATAAGAACAATCAAATACCGAACCGATCACAATGACGATCGCCGAAGAAATAAAGACGGAACTCACACACAGAGAGAATGTTTCGTTATCGTTCAAATCGATATGCTAGGGAAAACATCAATGAGCGCTGCGGACGAGTCGAAACGACCCCTCGATGCGACTCCAAATACACACCGCGAGCGCGGAAACTAGTAGGCACAAAGAGTTAAGCCACTTCGGAAAGATTCACACTCGAGCTCGTTAACCTTTGTTTCTACCAAAGAACAATTTGGGAACAATTTGCTGTGTTATATGGTCACATGAGAGCAGATTAGCGGCCGAAATAATCGCATAGGATAGGAAATGGACCAAAAAACACAAGTCACTTAGGCTCCGGTCAGCTTTCGCTCAAAAGCGCCCACGCCCAAATTTCTCTAACCTCTCACCACTTTCTCTTCTCTCCTCATACGAGAAAGTGAAGAGACATTAGAGAAGTTTGGGCGCTTTTGGGCGCTTCTGAGTGAAGTCTGAACGCGGCCTTAGAGATCAGTTTAACTACTGGTCAATTCTTCGTTCAAAGTTTGTTCCCACTGAAATTTAGCATGCTATACAGGGTTTTCATAAGCTAGAAAACGAATAAGTTGCGCGCATTCCTAACAAGCTCAGCCCTGTTTCTTCGCTCATTTCGCGTGGTGAAATTTGTAAAGCACGAGTTTTGACTGTTAGATTTTGAGCCCTCTAAACATTTTCGAGTCTGTCATAATAAAAAGCAACGTTTACATACCGTTTACAAGAAAAGGTAGCTTAAGAGCGCATAGCTGGGATGCTTCTAAGACAACAGCGTGAACTACCGCCCACGGTGCAATTGCACATTCAACAACCGAATGCCTGTACCTACCGGAAGCAGTAAATAAACCCATTTCCTTGCAGTATGACTTCACTATTGGGCTAGCAATGAATCATTTTCCTTCGCCCCCAAATTCAATCTCGCCGCGCGCGCACCCTCCCCCCCCCCCCCCCCTAATCCGAAAGGTAACCGTTTCACATTCCTCATACGATTCGAAGTATCATTCATTCTACGACTAAGAGACGCGAGACCGCATTGCACACATTGTCTAAACAAGCCTAATCGTGTATACACTACTGTATACACTTAGCAGGTTTATACTTGTTGATTATCTCGTCCAGGTTCAATTACTATTTGGAAACAGGGAAGAACAACTCAAACTTGTCAAGACAATGTCCGCAATGCGGTCTCGCGTCTCCTAGTCATAGAATAGATGATATGGGGTAGGGACTATATGCCGCCAAGAGTGGGAGGTCCCACCGACATCTGCAACGAACACACATTCCAGAATATGTACAAGCTGAGTATGCTGTATTATCCGCGCGGGACCCTCCCACTTCCGGCAACAGTCGTCTATCCATGATACTGAAAGCTGTTGCTTACTACTCTAGTTGGTTTTTTGTTAAAGTCATTCTCAACAGAATGCACAACTACACATATCGTCGATTCGTTGACCGCACGGACTGCTCAAACGCTGCGGCCCACGCGCGGCACGGCTGAATTGTTGCGAGAGCACGACTTGAACAATGGCGGATTTGTATTGGCGCAAGCGTCTTACCTCGCGGCGTGTGTTCCGCAGTGATGTCCAGTCCGTGTAGTCAACGAAGCAACTATACTCTCAATCTTTCAAATATTTCTTGGCAGAAGAGTAGTAAACCTTACAGAGTTACCCTGAAGTAGGATTAGAATCTGCAAAGTGCCTGTGCTGCAGCACTGGCGGAGTATTGTTTACAAAGATGCAAGAAAAGCAAAAGAACTTAATCTCTATGGATTTGCAACAATGTTGATGTTTCCTCAAGCAAAGAACCTCCATTCAACGCAAAAAATTAGCGCGATGAAAACCTCGTTCACAGGGTCAAAAAAATCCCCCTCCCCTTCTTTATGTTTGAGGCAATCAAACGCCATTGAAGGGAAGACACTTCAACTAGAATCCCTACTGAAATGACTCGTAGGAATTTCCATGCTTACGTAAAATTCCCATCAAATAACACAATCCAAAAGTTCCATTTTCCTTCCCCACCCCCTCCCCATCTCCTCAACCTTCTCTGCCACCTGATTTTTTCGCCCCCATTCACTGAAAGTGATGTCAAAACGAATGTGAAGCCATTAGACCTTTCAAGCTGTCACTCTTCAACCCGAGAAAACCAGCTTTCAATGTTTGCACTTTGGTATTTACTTAGTTACACATGACTGAACATTATTGCAATAGTTTTTTTTTAATGAATCTCTTGCAAAGCAGAAAAAAGGCGCGCTCATGCGAACAGTAACATCGATTACGCTTCAGCAATTCCCCTAAAATCTCAATTATGTTTATGCTCAAAATTGTGCTGAGAAAAACATACTTTAACTACCAGGCAAACAATTTAACACAGCGCAAATACGATCGAGTAGATTTTCCGCTTGATATAGTGTGCTTGCACTGAAAGTGAAATGCAGCAACATTTGCTCGTGAACAAGTAGCCACGCCAGTAATGCCAGTCTTTTGCGCGCGCAATTGGTCGGCGTCACGGGCGCAGCTATTTGCTTACGCGCAAATTTTACTGCATTTCACCTTCAGTGCGAGCACGCTATATTAAGCGCAAAATCTACTCGACTGTACCGATGCCACGTAAATTTCTGCCCATTAGAAGAGCGAATTTACGTTTGACTGTTGCATGTTAAAGCCGCACGCAATGCGTAGGCGGTAGCGTTCCGATTGGTCACGCCAAGAAAACCTAGTTGATTGTGGCCCATTTTGGATGGATGTATATACGGCAAACAATACCACTTGAACAAGCCTTTTCCGCTACATTGCTGTAGCCTAAATCTGAGCCTATCTATGAGATTCATCAAGATTAACTCAAAACAACAAGCGATTTTGCAAGATTACTGGTAAACTTCTACCAAAAGCAAGGAAAGCCTGGGATACTAAATGTCATTGGAATACAAAAAAATCAAATTGCATTCAATTTCAAAGCACTCCTTGTAACTTTTCAATATTTGCAACAAGGAAAAACTGATTTCTTGTAGATTTTCATCTCAATATTTCCGCATGCTGCAACAATCTCCACTTCACCAACATTACTTTTTCCACCTTAAAAGGAAGTTAATGAAGCATGAATAAGACTTACATACAAATAACGACAATTTTGCATGATTGTGAGCAAGTACGCTTGAATAGCCATTTGCAAACAATCTAATGGAAAAAGTTTGATCATTTGCACGCGCATTATTTCAGCATGACTAGCAATTCGTGGACATGATTCGATGTTTAAGAAAAATTCCAAAATATTCAAATAAAAGCTTATTGCACTAAATGGTACCGTTTACACCCATATCATTCATTCTCTGACTAGGTGATGCGAGCACGCTTTGCGTACATTTCATTAACAATTTTTTGAGTGAATTTTAACGTGTTTTGGTTGACTTACTATTAGAACTCGTGGAAGAACAGTTGTACCACGTTGGCATGAACACGTTCTTTCACGAATTCTTGATAGTAACCAAAACGCGTTAAAACTCATTCATGAACTTGTTGATAAAACGTACGCAAAGCGGCTCGCGTCTTTTAGTCATAGAATGAATGATACATTCTAACAAGAACGTTCGAGAACGTTGCGCGCAACGGCCAACATGCAAAATCGAGTCATTTGTAACTTGATATGTGTACTGCACAGAACGTGCAGTATTCTACGTCTTGCGTGTTTGCAAGTTTTCAATTTCATTTTTCTCAGCGAAACAAATGTAAATCTTTTTTCGCTTCATGTCTGTTCCATCTGAAAGCTTGAATGCAGCGAACACTGCCCTTAAGCAAAATCGATGAGCCGATGTCAAAAGCAAATATATTTCGCACACTATGCACTATAACACTACAACATGTACTATGTCGACGAACTTTAAGACCATTATCAAATAAATAGAACTCGACAACACAGGTGGATTGCACCAGATAAAATCCAGTTATGGATTATACTTTGACGAGGACTGGTCCAGACTAGGGCAGAAGAGTTAACTGAATTATAAAACTTGCAAGGTATAATTAAGCTATAGTACCATAGACCAAATAGACCAACTTAGTAAGCGGTCAATAATTCTTTAAACAAAATTTTTCTCTAAGAAACCCGTCTACTTCGCCAAAAAACCCAAAAGCGCCCAAAAAGGCTCGAAAAAGCTAAAAAAAAAGAATGAAAGCGCCAGAACATCAACTTCACAGGCGCGAATTTTGGCGCTGGAGCATTAGTTTCGGAAACATGTTGGATACTACGACAACTAGGTTTGAAGAGACCGCCTTGCGAACACAACACACATGCTCTAGCGCCACTTGCGAGGGGGCGTTCCGGCTCTTGCTGGCGCTTTTGAAATTTTCGGGCTTTTTTTGGGGTTGGGGGTGCTTTTGGGCTTCTTTCGGTGAAATATGACGAGTCCCTAATACCTACACTAATGGATTTAACGTCTGATATGGTGACCTTGCGGTGAGGACAACATCTGCGCGGAAGCGAACGCCAATTGTCGTCATATTGCTAGTGATTCGCGCATAAGATATGGCCACAGAGCGCACACTGTCTTTACGCGTTGTTATCGAGTTGCAAAAATACTATATTGTCCGAAAAATCTCTAGGCTATACATGCCTCCCCCTCCCGAACAAAATTCAAGGGAACATGTTGTATTCTAAATGTAATCCAAGAAATTGTAATCCAAAAATTATGACTCGAAGACCTGATCTAGTAGGCTGGCAAGATTGTAGTGTCTTGCGGTGCCGG